AGTGGTGTGGTGTAGTGGCGTGGTGTGGTGTAGTAGCCCGGTGTAGTGGCGTGGTGTATTAGCCCGGTGTAGTGGCATAATGTATAGCCTGGTGTAGTGGCGTGGTGAAGTAGCATGGTGTAGTAGCCTGGTGTAATAGCCTGGTGTAGTGGAATCGTGTAGTGGCGTGGTGTAGTAGCCTGGTGTAGTGGTGTGGTGTAGTGGTGTGGTGTAGTGGTGTGGTGTAGTGGCATGGTGTAGTGGTGTGGTGTAGTAGCCTGGTGTAGTACCATGGTGTAGTAGCCTGGTGTAGTAGCATTGGCGTAGTGGCATGGTGTAGTGTAGTGGCGTGGTGTAGTAGCCTGGTGCAGTAGCCTGGTGTAGTGGCGTGGTGTAGTAGCCTGGTGTAGTGGCATGGTGTAGTGGCGTGGTGTAGTAGCCAGGTGTAGTGCCTTGGTGTAGTGCCATGGTGTAGTGGCGTGGTGTAGTAGCCCGGTGTAGTGGCATGGTGTAGTGGCATAATGTATAGCCTGGTGTAGTGATGTGGTGTAGTAGCCTGGTGTAGTGGCCTGGTGTAGTAGCCTGGAATAGTGGCGTGGTGTAGTGGCGTAGTGTAGTGGCATGGTGTAGTAGCCTGTAGTGGTGTGGTGTAGTAACCTGGTGTAGTGGTGTGGCGTGATGTAATAGCCAGGTGTAGTGGCGTGGTGTAGTGGCATGGTGTAGTAGCCTGGTGTAGTGGTGTGGTGTAGTGGCATAATGTATAGCCTGGTGTATTGGCGTGGTGTAGCATGGTGTAGTACTGTGGTGTAGTGTAGTTGCTTTGTGTAGTGGCATGGTGTAGTAGCGTGGTGTAGTGGCGTGGTGTAGTAGCGTGGTGTAGTGGCGTGTTGTAATAGCCTGGTTTATTAGTGTGGTGTAGTGACGTGGTGTAGTGGTGTGGTATAGTAGCCTGGTATAGTGGTGTTGTGTAGTGGCGTGTGTTGGCGTGTAGGGTTGTGTAGGGGCATGTAGGGTTGTGTAAAAGCGTGTTGGGGGTTGTGTAGTTGAGTGTAGGTGCGTGTAGTGGCATGTAGGGGTGTGTAGGGGGCGCGTAATGGCGTGCAGGGTTGCATTGTGGCGTATAGTGGCGTGCAGTGGCATGCGTTGGCATGGTGTTGTGGCATATAGGGGTGTGTAGGGGCGTGTAGCGGTGTGCAGGGGTGTGTAGGGGCGTGTAGCGGTGTGCAGGGTTGTGTAGTGGCGTTTAGGGGCGTGTAGTGGCGTGCAGGGTTGTGTAGTGGCGTGTAGGGGCGTATAGTGGCGTATAAGGACGTGTAGGGTTGTGTAGTGGTGTGTAAGGACGTGTAGGGGCGTGTAGCGGTGTGCAGGGTTGTGTAGCGGTGTGCAGGGGTGTGTAGGGGCGTGTAGCGGTGTGCAGGGTTGTGTAGCGGTGTGCAGGGGTGTGTAGGGGCGTGTAGCGGTGTGCAGGGTTGTGTAGCGGTGTGCAGGGGTGTGTAGGGGCGTGTAGCGGTGTGCAGGGTTGTCTAGTGGCGTTTAGGGGCGTATAGTGGCGTATAAGGACGTGTAGGGTTGTGTAGTCGTGTGTAAGGACGTGTCGGGGCGTATTGTGGTGTGTAGGAGCGTGGTGTAGGGTTGTGTAGGGGCATGTGTTGGCGTGGTGCAGTGGCATGTATGGTTATGTAGGGGCGTGGTTTAGTGACGTGTGTTGGTGTAGGGGCGTGAAGTGGCGTGAAGGGACGTGTAGGAGCAGCGCCCACGTGTTCAGAAGACAAGGCTTACAGGCAGACTGAAGGTGGCCTCTGGAGGTCCCGTGGCGGTGTTTGAAGTCTCAAACTATACCTCAACATTATAGCATCTGAATTCAGAAATATTTCTATCATTTTTTTAATTTTTAAACTGTAAAAATATTAATGCATTGACATGTCCTATTTCCTTGCTGCATATTTACGACGTTTTTTTATATTTACAACATTTCGTTTCATAATTTTAAAGGTCTCGCGAGTGTTCAGACATGGTCACCGCGATGACCGTTAGGTCCTGACTACACCGCTGATGTGTACCCAGGCACACACACACACACACACACACACACACACACACACACACACACACACACACACACACACACACACACACACACACACACACACACACACACACACAAACACACACACACACATACCCCCTCTTCCCATTCCTCCTCATCCCCTTCTGTTACCCTTCCTCCTCATCCCCCTTTCTCTTACCCCTCCCCTCCTTACCCACCCTTCTCTTACTCCTTTTCCCCTCCTCATCCCCCTTCTCTTCGCCTTCCTCCTCATCCCCTTCTCTTCCTCCTCATCCCCCTTCTCTTACCACTCCCCTCTTCTCTTATCCCCGTCCTTACCTCCCCCACTTCACTTTCCCCCTTCCCTCCTCTTCCTCACTCATCCCCTTCTCTTGCCCCCACCCCCTTCTGTCTTATCCTCCTTCTCTTACCACTTCCCTCTTTCATCCCTCCTCTTCCCCCTTCCTCCTCACCCCCCTCGCCCCTCTCCCTTCCTCTTTCCCCTACCCTATTCCCACTTCCTTCTCATCCCCCTACCCTATTCCCCCCCTTCCTTCTCATCCTCTTCCCTCTACTACTTCTACCCCTGCTATTCTCCCCCTTCCTCTTCTACTCCGTCACTTAATCCCCCCCCCCCAACGTCCTCCTCCCTGCATCTTCTCCTTCCCCCTCTTCCTCCTTCCTCCTAGACCTACTCCTTCCTCCTCTACCTAATCCTCTTTACAGAGGTCTCAGGACAGAGCCTTGAGGCACTCAACTTACAACATTTTCCCACTCTGACTTAACCCCGTTTATACTAACTCTGATTCCTTTGCCATGCCCTAATCCAACTTAATAAATCTACGGTACAGATAGTATGGCTTAGATTCATATTTTAGGGGATTGGGTTGCACTGCACTAGAAATTAGGTACTGGGATATCGATATCTATGGCAGGTGGCTGCAGGTAATGAATACCCAAATGGTGAGCATTCCAATTATAAACTATGTAAACAAGAGCTGGGACATACTCTCCAACACTATATCTGTAATTGCCCTGTTATAAGTTACTTCAGACCATGTGGTATGAGGTAGCTTTGAGCTCTGTAATCACTTCATACACTGGAAAATTGAAAGATATTCTTGTGCTGTACCAGAGTGTGCAAGTGGAGGCTAATAGTGCATTAAGGGTTAGGCTAATTGAGGCATTAAGTGCCTTGCACTTAATGTTCTCTCCTGATTTTTAGTCAAACTTGATTTGTTTTTGTATTGAGGCTTGTGTTTTTTACCCTGATTCAGGGGTGCCAGATTTGAGTTGCCGAAAGTCGCAAGCTGAAGAACTAAATGTCTCAAACTTTACAATAAAAGTAGCCAAATATTTTTTCCCGATTGATTCACTTTTCAGAAAAAACAGCCCAGCTTATTTTAACTGTAGCTGAAAAAGTGGTAAGTAGCGACATACATAGATGGCTTTTTAATTGAATACAATTATCCTAATTGGTAACCCAATTGGGCTAGAAGTAGCCCAATCTGGCATTCCTGCCCTGATTCTATGTTTGACTAATCATCCTGTGAGATAGGAATATTAGATGAGCTTATAGCTAGCTTTTGATCTAAACTGTGTAATCTTTCATATAGAATAGGGTAGCAGCTGTTATTGTTGTTTAAAATTCAGCTACTCGGAAAAACAAGTTCCAAGTAGCTACGGTGAGCCCATAGTGGACTTACCTGGCACAGAAGCGAGGCTGTTGGCCGGGGAAACAGCACATTGCTGTGTATATATAAGCAATAGGAGAGGTCCTAACATTTCCATCTTGATGACAGCACGAGTGATGTTGTTGGGAGACGTATAATGTCCAGAGTCTGTGTTGACATGGTTATTTGCAACGATTGCATGTTGTTTCTTAGAGTTAGATTTGATATGAGCACTTGGCAGTCAATGTTGGTGCTTCTTATTTATGATAGGTGAAGTTTGTCAAAGTTTTCTCCTCTATATGACTGATGAGTGGCAATTTTGAGTCGAGGCACCAGAGTGTGTGCAGCGTCAATGTTGATAAAAGGTTGGGCATGGCTTGTGTGTTATTTCTTATAGTGTTATAATTGATGTGAGCACTTAATTGGCGGTCAGTGGTAGCGCTTTTTAATAAACAATATATACTCTCGTGATTTAGTTCAGCGTGGGGTTAAAAGAAAAAACAGCATACCACTGTTATATCACAGAAAACGAATTTATCATAAACTCATGTATTTGTCTTATTATATGGAAATGCATTCATAATAGATAACAATATGAATAGCCAAATTTCTGTGAATCCCCTACCAAGTTGGAATCTGTGGAAATTAATGAGCAAATGTGCTAGCTGCTGAAGGCGCTGAGCGAAACCACATTGGTTTCATCTTGGATACAAATGTTCATGGAGATTCAGAATGGAAACAATTATAGTTAAACATGCAGAGGAGTTTAAGAATCTGTGGTGAGAGTAATGGACATAGCCTTGACAACTATACGTCAGAGAATGTAAACATCTAAGAGTCATTAGAAATAAGTGTAGAATACTAAACCTTACATTGTTTGAGTTAGGGAAAACACCATTTGTCATATAGATACTATTCTTAAAGATTCCCCCATTTTGCACCAGCAGGATAACATAAGATTTTAAGGGTTGACGAATGTTAATCTTCTTGTTTGATAAACAGTGCACTTGAGACAGTTAATAAGAACACGCCAATATATAAGACAACAAAAAGTTTTCAGAATGTTTCACACCACTATCAAGCAACATTTACAATTTATATAAATTATTTTAGGGAATAATACATAAATTTTATATTAAAACATGATATTAGTGTTTAGTGGAATGCATAAGGAGTCAAATTGTGTTAAAAAGAGCTATTTTTAGAAAATTTGGAAAACTACTTTTTTCTGATCATAGAATAACTAAATGTATTTTGAAGGTTTCATTCAGCCATTAAATATCATTCACAATTTATTAATGAATTTTACAAAAAACACCATAAATTTTATATTTAAACATGTAAAAACTATTTGTAATAGATTAGGAACAAAATAGTTCTAGGAAAAACCATATATTATAAAACCTATATGTTTGGATTTTTGGATTAAAAGTTTCTCAAATACTCTCCTGCACCATTCTCAATACAAGTTATTCCTACACCTATGGGAGGAGTTAGATGAAAGTTTTCAACACGTTTTGTGTTTGCTGAGATTGACACTGATACCTCACTACAGACAAAAATTAAAACGTATGGAAAACAATTCTCTATGAAAAGGTTTTTAGTGAGACAGACAAGCAGTGAACTACAACCAGATCCTGGTGGAATGCAGGCAAAAATGTAGGAGTGTGTGTACCTCATAGAAGTTATCACTGCCTGATGTAATAATGGAAGGGGACTCTTCTTCTAAACAGTAACACCTCTCCTCCCTGTCTTCCATACGCTAACAAGCATACTCATATATAGGTAAGATAAACATACTATATTGTAGATAGAAAGAAAGTTGTATTCAGTATAAAATGTATTTTTAAGTTAATATTTTTGGGGGTGTGGAACTAATTCAATTTACACTATTTCTTATGGGAAAATTTGTTTCGACTTATGACCCGGCCTCTGGTAACGAATTAAATTCGTAAGTCGAGGCCCCACTGTATTTTACACAAATATACAAAAAATAATTTGCAAAATTCTAGTGCCTACCCTACCCTACTTATGGTAATTCTCTGTGACTATAACAAATGCTGGCTTGTGTCATTTCTCAATGACAGTCTGTGGTAACTTTTCAGATTTCATGGAATATTTTTGGCCACAGAGTCTTTAGTCATTGCCCTTGGTTCTTTCTTTTGCCTTGTGCTCATCACAGGACTCTTAGAGTCAAGGTCAGTTATTTTTAATTATCAAGGCAAAAGTAATGAAATGTCAGACCTTCTGAAATTATTAGAAAATTTCCTTTTAGAACCACATTTCCATTTTTATTAGAATAAGTGTAGTCTCTCTCTTCTACACAAGATTCAGAGTCTGAATCGAATTCGAATTCAGGCTCTGAATCGAATTCGAATGAACCATCTGTTGATGGTTCATATTCATAGCAACAGTGATTTTTCCGAATCTCCGAATTTTCTTGTTTTGCAGAGATAATATACTTACTATCTTTGGTGAGTTTGACAGGCTTTTTAAACTCAACTGCTCTGTTTATGACTCTGCCGGTCTCCACCACAGCATCACCGTCGGTGTTGGGCCAATAACCCTCTATTGTTACCTCTGAATTATTATGTAATATGTTTCCATGATCTACAATGCTCTTAAGATAAATTACCCTAGAAACAGTGAGGTCTTCTACAAAATTCTCGTCTGCTTTTTGGTAGGAGCTTTTCATACTTTTATTATTGGGCTTAAATGTAATCGTCCTAAGGAAACTTCTGTCAAAGCAGACATTTCTTTTCTTTCTGTTCCTGGAGAATTCAGCTGGTAGTTTCACATTTTTCACATTCTTTATGTTCAAAAGAATAGCAGAAGTCTCTTCTGGGGTCAGGATCCCAGTTGGCAGGACATACTCTGTCATCTCATCAGTAGTCATGGTGAGGAACCTCACATGGATGAGTAACTCTTCTGTCACCTGACGCAGGCTGTCCCTGTCCTCTGTACCCTTCCTCAGCTGTGCTTTACCCCTGGAAACAAAATATCAGACTTTTTTTCATTATTTGTTTGAGAGATTAAACTATTCATGATATACAAATTCATACTATATATATTCATGCTGCTACTGCTGTTTGTTTGGATAATAAGCAATCTGTCTACACACATGCAATCATGCAGTCTTGATTATTTACTCATAAGTTCTGTCCATGTAAATTATATAACATCTGAATTTATATTTTATACTGCTAGTTAAATTAATTAATGATCACCAATGTACCCCAATCATTTATTTTCTAGTTATAAGCATCAACAGGGTAAGGTTTGCATACTTCTTACATGCTGTGTATAACCTTTCAGAGTAGAACAAAAAAACAGCGTTGAATGTAATGAAACACCATTTTCTGGGTGAGATCCAGAGGCTCCCCCAGAGCTTATCCAGGCTGATATGCTAATGTCAGACTTTGGCATCAGTCATCTGTATGGAGTTCTATGGGCCTACCGGGGACCACCAGCCAGAACCTGGCCTCCTCAGTGTAGTTGGAAGCATTCTATGTCTGCCATCGACCGAGTCAGGCACCCAGAAAGGTAAGCGTCCCATAAACAAACCCCTATTCTGGTGAAAATTGCTACCACAAGCCGAACAAGTGGATAGAACTCCCCTAAAAGAAACGAGCAAACGATCATGACATCACATGTCACCGTGCCGCTGTCTGCACAACTCCCCCTCCCTGGGAGGGGGAAGGGGGAGCCCCAGACCTACAGTTTCCGGACCCTTCCGGAAAGCAGCAGTCTCATTCTGTGCCAGAAAAGAGGGAGACAGCTGCAACTGAACAAACCTATCGCCACGACTGAATGAGCAGAAACCCCTGTGCTGGAGGAGAGCAGGAAGCTCACCAACCCGACCCCTAGAGGCAAATGCCAACAGGAAAAAGAGCCTTCAAGAAACAAACCCGAACCGAAGGGGCCACAAGAAACCGAGGAGGAGAAGAAGAAAGAGCACGCTGATCAAAGACAAGAACGGCTCAGGCGGCGCATGAGCAGGCCAGAGGTGAAACAACGCACGAGACAGCCTACGAAACAGCAGATGTAACATGAAGACCGAAAGCAAGCCGAAGCGGCTCCGCCAGTGCCACACAAAACAAAGCGACAGTATGCGGCAAGATGACGGCCCTGAACCTTCACCAGAAAAAAAAGCCGACGCCAACAAATGCAGCCACTTAAGAAGGGACAGAAGGAAAAGGAAGGACCACCAAAAAACCCCATACTGCTGCCAAGAAAAAGCCTGCAGGTGGGACACTAATAACGAAGCCACCTGACCACCAACCGAAGGTGAGAGACTAGAGGCAGAACCGAACCAGCCCCGCCATGGACCATAGGAAGAGGCAGAGCTGCGGGACGATCCCGGGAGTGACCAACGAGCAAGCAGAGCTGGAAAACCAAACCGGCAAAGAGGGAGAAGGAATGTCTGCCGAACAGAAAACGTCAACGCCAGCGAGCTCGCCAGGAGATCGGAGACTACGGTTCCGATGGGAGACTCTAGAAACGGAACACCGCGAGACCCTAAAAATACCAACACGCAGGGCAAGCCAGAAAAACAGGAACCCAAACCTGGCAACAGTAGAGCCAAAAGGCACAAACAAAACACACAACAGTGTGTAGGAGAAAACGAGAAAAAAACAGAAGAACAGTCCTAGCATCAGTGGCTAGGGACAAGAGTTAAGCAGGAAGATGAGGAATGAAGAAGGCAGGCAGCAAACGGGAACGAAAGGGACACGACCAACACACACAGCTGTAGGTTATGTACCATCAAATCACGCCAACAACACAGTTGTAGTTCCCGTCCCAACAAATAAAACTGAAAAAAGTACAAAGGATTGCCACCAGACTAGTACCCGAACCGAGGGGTATGAGCAACGAGGAGAGACCACAGGAATTAAACCTCATGCTACTGAGAGACAGAAGAGCGAGAGGGGACAGGACCATCACATTCAAGACCCTCAGAGAAAATGAAAGGGTAGAGAAAGACAGACTATTAAACGCATGGGGCACACACACGCCAAAAGACACAGGTGGAATTGAGTGCCCAAAGGAGCCAGAGAAACATTAGTAAGAAGTATTTCAGTGGCAGAGTAGGAGACAAATGGAATGCATGAGGAAGGGAAGGGGTGGAGGCTGACTTCACACACAGCTGCAAATGCAGACATGACAGAGCCCAGGAGGCTCAGGAACTCGTACACTAGTCAAAGGACAGGCGAGAGGCGGGACCAAAAAGCCAGAGCGCAACCCCCACAAACACAACTAGGCAAGTACAACTAGGTAAGTACAGAGGCCACACAAATGTCCGGTGAGTGACAGGTGAGAGGCAGGACTAAAGAGCCAAAGCTCAACCCCAGCAAGCACAACTAGGTGAGGAAAACTAGGTGAGTACAGAGAATCCAATGTACATGAAAGGGCTAAGCAAGACACTGCAAGACAGGCAAGGAATGAGGGACCCAGATAAGACCACGAAAAATGGGGCCGTGATCCCCCGCGAAACAAATAACACAGACTGGCGTTGATGCCAGACTGTGGGTCTGACACTGTTGAGTGCTCGCTGCGCTCCTCACTCTAAGCTGTATTTCAGCTCTCAAACTACCCCCAGATGATGTAGAACACCACCTACAGGCAGCTAAGTACATGGAGTCCAAGCATGTCATAACACATCCAAAGCAACCAACCCAATCAACTTATTCCATCTCAAACAAAATTCAAAACAATCCTCTCCGGCTGTAAGTACCAGTGCCTGCTGCCCATCTCTGCCCACCTCCGCGCTGCCTTGAGGTTATCTTGAGATGATTTCGGGGCTTAGTGTCTCCGCGGCTCAGTCCTCGACCAGGCCTCCACCCCCAGGAAGCAGCCCGTGACAGCTGACTAACTCCCAGGTACCTATTTACTACTAGGTAACAGTAGCATCAGGGGTGAAAGAAACTCTGCCCATTGTTTCTCACTGGCGCCCGGGATCGAACCTGGGACCACATGATCACGCGTCCAGTGTTCTGTCCGCTCAGCCGCCGGCTCCCAGACACAAGTGCCTGACACAAGTTTCAGCCACAACATATTACCCCAGTCCATTCTCAACCAATCATGTCTCCCAAAAGCAAGACAGCACAGGGAAATAAGAGCAACAAAGCTCCTAACAAGGCATCCATCCAGAACAACACTGACACCCATCGTGTTTCTCCCTCTGGAAGCTCTGAGTCTGTGGCGGTGGTGCTGTTCTCCCCTCTACTCCATCACTGAGCCAGGGAGCTGTGTCCTCTGAATCCTCTCCAAATTCCACGCTTACATCCCACTTCACGAAATTCAAGCGTGCTTCTGGTCCCTCGCTGGATTTCCCTAACTGGGCCGAGAACCAGTCGTTTAAAAAGTTGTGCCTAGTCCTTGAGGCTCAAATTACGATCATCCAGAGCCTACAAACTGAGAATCAGGCGAACTTCGCGAACCTTCATTATCAACAACAAGAAATAACCCTTCTCCGCGAGGATATTAGAACCTATAAGGCTAGCCAAGATCAACTCCAGCATGACTTAAATGATCTCCATGAGGAAAATATGTATCTGAAAACTGAAGCCATAAAAAAACAAAAGAAGTTCTCAACAAAATGACTATGTATACCTGGTTGATACCTGGTTGATGGGGTTCTGGGAGTTCTTCTACTCCCCAAGCCCGGCCCGAGGCCAGGCTCGACTTGTGAGAGTTTGGTCCACCAGGCTGTTGCTTGGAGCGGCCCGCAGGCCCACATACCCACCACAGCCCGGTTGGTCCGGCACTCCTTGGAGGAATAAATCTAGTTTCCTCTTGAAAATGTCCACGGTTGTTCCGGCAATATTTCTTATGCTTGCTGGGAGGACGTTGAACAACCGTGGACCTCTGATGTATCAGTACATTATCTGCCCAACATTCCAGAATGAACAAGATCAGCAAAAGCTGCTTGACTCTGTTGTTGTGGCATCTCCAGCTATTCCTGTGGAACGTGAAGGTGAAAAGTGTATTGATATACAGTAGTTCATGCTCTCATAAAAGACGAATTGCAATATAGTCTCAATAAAACAGACATCACTGAGATGGTCGCTCTCTCACCACAGTACTATGCACATATGTACATGGGTATATACCCACATTGTATATACCCATGTACATATGTGTTCACCATAGCGAACCACTAAGCTAGTATGATGAGCAAAACAAGAGTGGCTGCCCCACATACACAGTGAGGCTACCTCAATTCTCTCCTTCCCTCCCTCACCACAATTCCTCCTCCCACAGTACTACGCACATATGTACATGGGTATATATGCACATTGTATATACCCATGTACTTATGTGTTCACCATAGCGAATCACTAAGCTAGTATGATGAGCAAAACAAGAGTGGCTGCCCCACATACACAGTGAGGCTACCTCGATTCTCTTTTTCCCTCCCTCATCACAACTCCTCCTCCCACAATACTACGCACATATATTCATGGGTATATACACACATTGTATATACCCATGTACATATGTGTTCACCATAGAGAACCACTAAGCTAGTATGATGAGCAAAACAAGAGTGGCTGCCACACACACAGTGAGGCTAACTCGATTCTCTCCCTCACTCCCTCACCACAATTCCTTCTCCCACAATACTACGCACAGTGCTAATTATCACCACAATCCTGCTGTTATCACAATACTGGTCACTAATTCCTGTAAATAAATAGTTGGCCACAACTTTATTTTGTAAAGAGACTTAAGAAGTCGTTTGAAAAGTCTTAGATTGACGAAATAATGCTGTGGCTAGTGCTGTGAACATCGTGAACAGCATTGAATCACTGATATTTGAACATTGTACACAGTCATTATCACACTCAAGCTCTTCTGTAATACTATCATGGCTAAATAATACAAGTTATATATATATATATATATATATATATATATATATATATATATATATATATATATATATATATATATATATATATATATATATATATATATATATATA